AAAACGTTTGCTTCGATTGAACAAAGGGTGATGGGGTCGAATGTATATCAGAGTATAACTTTATAGACATTAGAGTTTTACAACAAAAATTCATTTCAAAACGTTTCGTCAAACACATGTTCCTTTTTTCTTTTAGTGCCCTACCTGTAATAAAAATTTCAGTTTAATCAATTGTACCCTCTTCGAGAACTAGAAATCATCAGAAAAGAGGTAGGGGGTACCATTAAGGAATCCATTATCAGTTATTTGACTTTGTCGGCGAACGAATCGATTAATTTACTCAACATTGTATATCATAAATACGGCCGTGATCTGATAAAAGTTCGATCGAAATTGTTGGCATCCATCAACGAAAAATCAATTTCTTGCAACATGCAAAGATTCTAGAATACTTTGTTGTATAAAACTAAACACGATGTTGACAATGCAGGCATCATGCGTGTTTGCATTCTTTTCTTCGTACTCATGTTTTTTTTCTCTTTTTCTCATTCATTTTGGGCACTGTAAGCATGGCGGTAAAACAATTCTAAACTCGTTTGTTGCCATGTATAAGATCGTTTTTTTTCTCTCATTCCATCTTACTCACTTTCAAAATTATATTCATCAACAATGTCGACCAAAAATGACACTCTCGATTTTTCAATAAAGAAATATTTTATGTCAATCAAAAGTCCTTGTACTATTCTACTCAATACAGAACAAAAACAGCAGGTTCAACTTAAGGCAACTAAATATATTCAGTTCATTTTCTTTCTCTTGCGTTCTTTTTTGTGTTGTCAACATAGTTTTGTTAACTTATATAAGTATGCGAGAGAAAACTAAAGAATAAGTCGGCATGTGATTCTGTCTTTTGTCGTGCTGTATAATCGGTCTGTGAACATTTAAAAATTACATTTGTTACGCCCTATTTTTTCTCTGATTCAGAATGTATCAACGCCTAGTCAACTATTTCCATTTGATCCGTGCCTTGTAGAGCACTGCATATAGTTCAAATTAAATTCAAAGGTTTATTTTCATCTCTATCTCCAAGTATACCCATTTAATAAAAGAAAAACCCGGAGCCGTCATATAGAAATATCTATGACTAATTCATTCTCATCTTCACAGAGAAAAAAAGAAGTTCGAAATCAGTAGATTGTTTTTAGTTTTATAACAGTCTTACTCTTTTTCTAATAAACTCGTTCGTTTCCAGATTAAATATAAATCTTGGTGTTCATCATCCAGTGAAAGACACAACAGATCAATAACGAGGAAAAATAATCCTTACAATGACTACTGAAA